GCTGTATGGGACAGGGGGTCAGTTACTGAGATTATGAGAAGACAGGGCCAAGGAGGGCACATACCCGTATTGCGTTGACATGCTCTCGACGCCGGCGCCGATACCGACCTCAATCATGCCGGTCTTGATCGCGTTGATAATGTCCACGGAAGCCTGCAGACCAGAAGAGCACTGGCGGTTGAGGGTGCGCACGGCAGTGGTCTGGGGGAAGCCGGCGACGAGGGCAGCGGCACGCATCTCGGTGGCACCACCGCCGGGGGCCAGGACGGTGCCGACGGCGATATCCTCGACGAGGGCGGGGTCGATCTTGGACCGGTCGAGGAGGGCCTTGAGGACGCCAGCCATCAGGTCGGCGGCCTGGGTGTCCTTGAACCCACCCTTGCCACCCTTGGTGAAGGGAGTTCGGAGTGCTGCGGTGACGACGACCTGCGGGGGAATACGATTAGACGGGCACGTTCTATAATCATCTAGATAGAGAGCGGTCGGGAGCTTACATCGTCGGCGTTCTTCTGGAGGATCTTGTCCTTGCCGCCGGCGGAGAACTGGCCGCCAAGCTGAGTCAATCTCTCCAGGGCTGTTTTGAGCGACGTGGTTAGTAAAAGAGGCGAAGTGGCCGCGAGCAGAGTGTTGATTGCTACTTACCACCCATTGTGATAGATATGAAGCTTCGAAGATAGGAACGAGAGGGTATATAGATGGATCGAACAGATGGAGAGACGAGATTGAAAAGAGGAGATGTAGGTGGAACAGGTATATCAATACAAAAGTGTGTAAGGGGAACTGTGACGGGCAAGATGTATGTCTGGTTCGGATCTCAGATGGGACAATGAGCCTCGGATGTTCTCAAAAACGGGTCTCTGACAAAGGAGCAGCAGGGTACTTGGTACACCTTGAAAGAGCTGGCTGATGTCAGCTGGGGGTCATCCAGCGCTGCACCTCACCTTTCTGCTGCAGCAGCAATCCAGTAGGTCCAGCAACCAAAAAAACCGGCCGAGGCATCCAAATTCCAGCGACCACACCGCATTGGTTACGAAACTCCGGGGCCCGAACCCCACCCTTTTTCTCTGGAGAACTTGGGTGCGGAAAGGTATCCGTATCTCACCTAGCTGCCATTTTCACATGCTCGCTTCTTCCCCACTGAAGCGGTAGCAGGTGCTGTTTCTGGCCGCTGGTGCGCTGCGACAGCAACCTTGGTCCCCACGTTCTCCCGCCTCCCCCGTACTTTTTCCTCCCCTGGTACTTACCTTGCGGGGAATTGGCACGCCAATAGCTTGCGTCACAAGCACTTTACGGCAGCCCAGGTGATCAGCGTCCCGTCCTCCTACCATTCTTCTCTCGCAATCTCTTTCTTAGCCTTCTTAGGGCGTCACGGGACCTCTGGCGGCTTATGATACCTCGCTGCGAGGCTGGTGAGCTTGATGGCCGCCCTTTTGTGCTTGGTCCATCAGGTGCAACACGTGCTGGCGTGGCTTGAGCCGCAACCTTCTTTTTTTCCATGTGAAGATGCACCGCGAGTCAATCCTTAAGATCCCAAGCGCAAACCAATAGGATAATTGTTTCATCCACATGGAAACCCTAGCCTCGAGTCAACCTACGTATGCAGCTACTTGTGGAGAAACAAGCAGCTGGAAATGGAGATATCGCGACTTTATAGGTTCATCATAATACAAGGTCATTGTTCTACATATCTGTGTATGTCTCTCTCTCTCTTCTCCGACAAAATGTCTGTATAGCTTCTCTTCCTCTACAACTTGGCCGCCGGCTTGATCAACGCCAGCCTCGCCTTCAGCGCCGCCTCAGCCTCCTTCTCTATTCTAGGAACCAAGTCCTTGACCGACGGGATGTCGTGAATCAATCCAATAACCTGTCCGGCCGTCCAAACCTATAGCAGAAAATGGTCAGCTCGATACTTCATACCATGCTCACGTGAAGGAAAGGGATATACTCACGCCATAGTCCGGATCACCCGTGATGAAAACCTCCTTGCCCCTCTTCCCGCTCACGAGCGGCGCAATCTCGGAAAACTCGCCCGACGTGCTCTGCTCCTCAATCTTGATCGCCTCCTCCGTGACCTTGTTCTTGTACAGCCGCGTTGTGTTTCTCCACCGCCGAAGCAGCAGCGCCGTGTCCGTCTCCTGCGCCTTGACAATCTCCTCCTTGATCTTGTGATGGATCGGCGCCTCCAGCGTGCACATGAACCGCGTGCCCATATTGACGCCCACCGCGCCCAGGCACAGCGCCGCCGCGAGCCCTTCGCCGTCCGCGAACCCGCCGCTCGCGATGAAGGGCACCTTCAGCGACTGCCGCGCCCGCGAGAGGAGGATGAAGTTGGTAATGTCCGACTCGCCCACGTGGCCGGCGCACTCGAAGCCGTCGATGCTGAGGAAGTCGACGCCGAGCTTGACGGCGCTCTGCGCGTGGCGGATCGTCGTGCACTTGTGCAGAATCGTAACGCCCGCGGCCTTGAGCTGCTTGATGACGGGGCCCGGCGAGTTGCCGGCCGTCTCGACGATCTTGATGCCCTCGTCGATGACGACCTGGGCGTAGGCGGCGTAGTCTGGGGGCACGAGGGCCGGAAGGAGGGTGATGTTGACGGCAAAGGGATACTTTGTCAGGGTCTTGCAGCGCTGGATCTCCTTGCGCAGCTCCTCGGGAGTCGGGAAGATGAGGGCGGTGATGATGCCCAGCGCGCCCGCGTTGGAGACGGCCGAGGCGAGGTCGGCTGTGCCGACGTGCTGCATGCCGCCCTGGACGATGGGTACTGTGAGGCGAGCGAGAGCGTGTCAGCGATGAGTTGTCCTCTCTGGTACTCTACCCGGCATAAAGGGTCAGGATGCGCGCCATAGTGACGCCTGCGAATGTGATGTGTCGTGCGTCTTCTCGCGAGCCCTGCTCTGACGTACCTTTGATACCCAACCGTCGGGTCAGCTCAGTGTCGAAAGGCATGTTGGGCAATCGGAGCGTTTTCTTTCTCTATTCGATTCGATTCGATTTCGGTACAAAATGTTGTGTTACGTGAAGAAACAGGTCGAGGGACGAGGGCGACAATCAGAACGAGGCAACAGGAAAAAGGAGACAACAAACTTCTAAAGCGTCTAGTCTAGATGGTGTAGATTGCAGACGTGATAATAAAAAGGGACAGAGTGGTGATTCTGACGGCAGTTTGGCTGACTCGGTCTGGCCGGTCAAAGGACGACGGCTGCTCAGCCCCCCCGATCGGTACCTTGGGACAGTGGGGACGTACCGAGGTAACTCGGCCTCCACCAACCGTCTCCCCCGCGTTTCCAGGTGCCAGGCCATTTTTCGATTAGAGCGAACATGGGGAAACACGGCCGACCCCATTTCGTGCCGTTCCTCTCTCACATGGCCAGACGCCATCTTTCCGCCGTCCACGGGACTATTTCCGTAACCAGAAGGCTTCATCCCTGACACCAGCCGGCCTGGCTTCACTCACTTTCTTCATATTCTGACAGAGAACGCAGCACACTGTATCTTCATCCTTGATATACTGAATCATCAAGGAGCTTAGCACAACAACACTTCGCAGGCCAACAGACTAGACAGACGCGTAGCACGGCGCTTCCACCTCTCAGTTCCTCTGGCTTCAGCCTTTCACGAAGCCCCATGGCGTGTAATATGTGACGCTGTGCTCCCTATCATATTGAATCTCATCGGTCAATAATCAAAGCTTCCGAGGGCCGCACACTGGACCCCCGGGTATCTCGATACCTGGCTGCCCCTTGGTCAGCAAGCACACCACCTAAGGACGATTGGATGTTTGTGCCCGATATCAACAGCGCCCCATCTCTCTCATCTGGCGGCTCCTCGAGGCGTTGGTGCCACAGCATCTAGGCTACGTGATGCGAATCCGACCTAAAGGAACGTCATTAGGCATTTGATAGTCGCCGTCCGCAACTCAGTTCAATCACAGGAACAATGTCTGACGTGGAGTGCATGATGCAGAATAGGACGTCCATCATTGATGATGATGGGTATGACAACACAGCTTGCCCTGAGTAAAAGCTCAAGTGCAAACCTCGAGACAGGGCATACAGACTCTGGCACGTCCTTCACACACACGGAACAGCGGAACCGGAGATTTTCGACACGACAGTGTCGGGTTGACATCCGTTTGTCGGCGAAACTGTCAGGCCCCCCTCAAACTTTCCGGATGACAAACACTGCCAAGGGCTATCGAGCTTAATCCCACATGGCCTCATCGGCTACGAAGAAACGCTCCTAGATAGGGACGTCTGGTTTGTGATCCACCAAGCAGATGGTGACGAGCCATGCTGCCGGTGTTGTCTGGCAGTACAAGATTATTCGTGTGATACCTCATCACGTCCGTGACCAGGACTGCTCATGGCTTTTCCCCGCTGCATGTCGTCTTCCCTATCCGCAGGGCCGGCGTAATGTGTATCATCACGCTACCGGAATCGCCATCGACGCTCGTTTTCGTCCGCCTGATGTGTGCCTAAGAATGTCAATGTAGACCTCGATGAGCTTGCTACGTCGGGATTCGGAATCCTTTCGTGGCCCGACTGTTGGACGCCTTCTTCGTGCATCTTGACGACCAATAGTTCGAGATAGCCATGACCTTTTGTGTTCACCATTGGCCCAAGCTTAATTTCTCCCCTGAACGATACTGTTGATCCGAGTCGCCAGGTCCAATGCGCTAGATGACCATGTCGTCTTCAAACTTTTGACGTGCAGGTACCGGCCTCGAACGATTCGAGACTCTGAGAGAGACCCCTTTCTTGCTCCCGTGCTCCCTAGCCATGCGAGGGCGATCACTGACGAGGCCTTGCTTTCATGCGGCCATCCTGGCGGGCGATGACATCTATGTAGTAGCAAGGAGACGATCCACGTGGACTCAAATGAGGTCCCACGGAGACAACCGTATGCCGGACTACCGCCCGATAGATGATGTGGCAAACTTGGCCAAGGAAAATGTCTTTCCAGACATCGACACGTAGCTCGATCAAGAGGAAGCCTGCTTTTTACGCAGCAACTTTGCTGTGAAACAATGTGGCATCCTCCTTCCGTATGTCTCTATTCGAACTTTGGTGAGACATGGGCGGGAGATGTACATTTGACGCCGGCTTCCCGCATCCAAAACGGTTTAGCTGCCGTTGCTGCGTTGGCGGCGCCTCGCAGGGCGGCGAAGGATGAGGAAGCAACCGTATGCTCCCGACAGATTGACCGAAGCAGCTAGTTTGGGCTATCGACCGCGTTGCGCCATCTTTGAGGATTTCGTATGGCAGCAACATGCCACCAGCCTCGGCCATCGGTTGGTAATCGGTACCTGGACTGGAGATGAAGTTGGCAAACAAGTCGGGGAGGCTCGGGTATGCGGACTCCACCGAGACTCGCAGAGCCATCCATTTCCGCGTCTCGGTGTCATTGGAAGGACCAGCCCCATGCTATGGGAGTACAGGTCTCCTTAGGTCGCAATGCTGCACGTAGGTGGTGAACGTCTGCGGGTGGCGGGTGGGAAGAGCCGTTTGGAAAAAGAAATATCGCAGTCACCCTTGTTTGTCCGGGGGTGATCGAATCAGTGGATAAGAGTGGAAGAAGCCTTCGAGAATTCCTCCTGTGAAGCGGCGGTGTTTACTCCGTACGCTATAGGACAGATTCTGCCAGATACGGCGAGCATACTGGCATCATGCTCCTTTGCGGGATGCCACAAACACCCAGGTCGGCGGGACCAAACGCAGTCAATAAGCAGTGTTGAATGGGGCTGGCTAACGGATTGCTGCTGCAGTGCTGACCGCTCATCATTGATTTCCTGCCAACCATGGGGAAGCACGGGAGCTATGGCGCACTGCCGACCAAGCCGCACTCGGAGACTTGCCATAACTTCGGCAAGGGCTGAGGTAGGTAGGAAGAGTTGGAGCAGAGATCTGTATCCATAGGTGTTATCCGTTTCCAGCTGGCTAGTCCTCAATCTCCAATGGACTTACACGGATGATGATCACCCTCCCTCCCGAGTCCCGCGCAGCGTCCATGCGTCGACATTGGAGCGAGTTTCCGTCTCAGACGAGTCGATAGGTTCACATCAGAGCGTCCGCTGTGTAAGAAGAGAGAAAGAGGGAGAGGCAGAGGCAAAGGGATAGGGGAGGGGCGCGGCCACAAAGGAGGCAGAAGAGGGCTGCGGTAGTTCCGGGGGATGTTGGAACTGGTCCCGACGGGTTGGTCAAGGAAACATTTCAACCAGATGGACCCTGGTTTCGCCCGCACATCCTGCACTCTGCAGTCGCGTCTGCACGCTGTCGAGCGCCGGAGCCCCCTGACCTTATTCCTGGTCCTGGTCATAGTCCCGCCAAGGGCGAACGCCGATCCGCGAGCAAACATTGGGGCGGCACCGATCTGCTCATCACTTTGGACTTTGGAGCATTCTGAAGCGCGATAGAATGTTCGTCCGCTGTTGAATGTTTGCTCAAATGTTTCCTCGTCAACTATCGAGGGTTGCACAAACGGAGGGAAACATGTTGAACAAAGTCAAAGTCCGAAGGGGGTCTACTGTCTGCGGATCCCGTCTAGCGAGTGCGCGAACGGTCGGGTGGTGGATGTGAGGTCGCATTTAGGTGTACGGATACGGAATAAGGCGGTGACGAAAGCTGAGGTGTGAAGTGTGAAGAAAATGATTTTTTTGTCGATTTTGAGTTCAACAACGGGGGCCTTGCGACCGGGACAGGGCCAGAAACTTTTTTTTTCTTTTTTTTTTTTTTTTTACCAGAGGAAGGAACCTGGAACCCTGGACCCTGCCCTGGCGCCTGCCCGACGTTGACCCCAAGTCTTCCGGTGCCAATTGTGGCCTGCCGCTTCCTCCTGATGCCCGGGAGAACAAGAAGATGGAGACGAGAAAGACAGAGAGACACACGCAAGCCGAGAGAACCTTGAAGTTCGTGGCTTGCTAGGTTTATTCGTACACGACGCAGTCGAGATGCCATGGATATGATGCTCGCTGCTCGCTCTTTTCTTTCTCCTTCTGCCCCTTGCTGTGAAGGTTCCATCTACTCCGTACGCTACTCCATACCGATACGGATGTAGTCCCAGCGCACAGTCGCTGCAAGCCCGAGGCCAACCTAGTCTTTCGGCTGCGCAGATATTCCCTGTCTGTTCCTGCCTCAGTGCTTTTCCTCTAAGTCGTTCGTTCGTGTCCTGATGGGCGCATGGAGCACCAGATGCCCCGTCATTCTCTCTTTGATGACGGCCTCATTCTGTCAAAGGACCTAACCTACATGCTGAGTAACATTACACAACATGAGCATTGCATTACGGGCTGCTTGCAGTGTAGTGTGTAGTGCGTGTGTCTCGATAAGACAACCCTGTTGAATGTCTTGCGGAAAGGCTGAAATGCTTTGATAGTGTAGCATCCCTTCCGACTGCCGTCTGAAGTGAAAAGAAAAGTTTAAAGACATAAAAGACGGTGAGGGCAGAATAACTCCACGGAAGGACACCGGCATCGCCCCGTAGACTAAAACAGAGCGAAACAATAAAACCGCCGGCAAAGCTTCGCTCTGTTGTGTACGGATGCTAGTGTTGCTAGCCAACTGGGTCGCTGCGCATCCGTACGAAGTAATGTAGTATTCAAACGATTTCCTCACTGAGACCGCGCCTTATGATGAATGCCCCCAACGTATGGAGTACCGAGTACCTCTGGTAATTACCTTACCGTAGAAGTAGTTGCCCGGGTGGGGAGGAGGAGTAGTCTTGGAGGAGAGGTTTGTGAGTCGTGACTATGAAAGGACTACTAACTCTGTGCTAAGGACCAAGATGGCAAAGGTAAGCTCGGGAAACAACCAGGGGTTGTAACTCTCAAGTCACAATGTTTCGCTCCACTTTAGCCTTTCATTTTGCTCGACTCACACTCATTCAGAGCCGTCCAGTCTCCACGTCCCCGTCATTCTCATGCGACCTTCTCACCCTCTCACCCTCACCCTCACTCTCATCCTCACCTCTTACGCTCAATCTCACTCTCATCACCTAGTCTTTCATTATCATCCACCATCACCACCACGACCTTGACCATGCAAGTACTGTACATATCCAACCCGACACATCATAAGGTACATACGCATATACGCAGGTCAACAAGCCCAGTTCCCCGGCTTCCCGGTTCCATATCCCCCCTTCCTACTGCTCCCTTCGTTTCGGGGAAGCATGACGGTTCCTAGACTCACAGGCTAAGACGCCAGGGACCCCTTCGGCTGGGGCTCTTCCCATTCCCCGATGCCACCAAGGCCGCCAATGCCTCCACAGACCAACATGGACCACCTTAACCACCGCCACGACTGGTGATCCACCCCATGTTCTCCAGCTGCGAGGTGCCCGTTCCTCTACAAGCTGCTGTACGTGCTGCTCTAGCTGCATTCGAGCTGCAGTTGCTCAAACCCGCCGGTCGCCTGTCACTCTGGACGATCCCGCCCGTCCTTAACCATTGCTGGCTTCTAAGCGGTACTAGGCCACTCACTGTGAAGAGCTTGGATACTCGAGTGCCTTGCTAGGAAGTATGGATACAGCCACGACTATCGGCAAGTCCCCTGGACCTGATCTAAACCCGAACTGATGAGGCCTCTGAAGCCATTGAGAGCTTGGGACCAGCCAAACAGCCGCACGTACCTCACCTTGCTTGCCTTTGCTGGGCACACGAGATGTCATGACATTGTTTTCATGTTCATTTGCGATATCGAAGGCACGAAGCTAACGCTACACGTTCACAAACAGCCCAGCACAAGCGCGTTGAGGCGAGCAGGGGAGCAACGGACGTAGGTCTCACAACCACATGCTCGTCTTGCAGATGCCATGTCTTGAACAACACTCTCTCACACTCTTCACCAAACCCAATCTGTCTCTGTCTCTGTCGTCTTTCACATTTCATAATTGTCCTCACCAGCAGCATCGGTATCATCATCATCATCATCATCATCGGTGGTCTGGCCCGCCCTGCCAGAAATGCCCTGCTTCGCCCTGCCCTGATCTTCTTCTCACCCCACCCCAAAATGACGATGAGGAACCAGTGCTGCCCGATCCCACCCCCTTTCCCCCCTCCGCTAACTGCATCAGTACGGTGGTACATACATCACTCGCCTCTCCCCGCCCTTTTCCTGCCGCATCGCGCATTTGAATCGACGTGGCTCGGCGGCCCTTTTTTCTTCCCCCTGCTTTTTCTCTTTCCAAAATAAACCGACATGCTTCAACGCCAGTCCATCGCCGTGAGGATGGTCTCGATGAGGCCCAAACGACGCTGACCGAGTTTCCTTTCATCGCAGTGTATGGAGGCGAGACTGTTCCTCTTGCCCAACCATCGGGGCTGCTTAGCAACTTGGTATTTCCCACCCCCCGGTTCGTTTCGCTTCACCGGCTGGCGGAGTCGATGCCGCCGGAGAGGGTCCTGGCGTCGCTCGCCCAGTCTCCAGAGCTGGTCCCGGATGCCACTGCGGATTGCCTAGTGCTCGGGTGCTCAGGCTAACTTCCAAGGTACCTTACCTTACCTCACTGCTTTGGTCTGCCACGCTCTTTTTCATACTTTTGCCCTAGCTTGATTGCCCAATCGTCGGCTTGTTGGCTGATGTCAATGCTATTATTGTTGAACCCTTGCCCCCTGCTCTCATTTACCTATCCGTACATATCGCTTTTCCCTCCGCTCTCTCTTATGACTTATGTCTCATGGTTCATGTACAGATCAACAAGTGCCAGCCAGCCAGCCCAGCCCAGCCCTGGTTGCGTTCTAGCTCGGGTCGGCTGAAGCGTTAACTGCATGGGACGTGGTGCCATCGTAGCCCTCTCTCTAGCCCTCCAGCCTCGCCGCTCTGTTCTTACTCTCACTCCCATTCTCGCAATCTTCAAATAGGCTCTTCACGTATCTGGAGGCGTTCGTTCGTCCGTTTGTTGCTCGCTCTCCCGCCCGCGGATTAAACATCTGCACGAAACCTCCTCTCAATCTCTTCCCATGTACTGTGTAGCACGTCAGGCACTCATCTTGGTACATGACCTGGATACGGATACACGCAGCTCACTTTCGTGGATACATCCAGGCTGTATGCATCCGCTTTCCGTAACCTTCGTTTCCTCTCCCTTTCTCGGCTGGAGATTCCAGTCATGCCCCTGGTCAGCTCTTACCCTGCCTTTTCCCACCGTTTGCACCTCCATCTTTCACCCCTTTGCTCTCTTGTCGGCCTAGGTACGGAGTACTCATCCGTCTGCTCGATCGTCCACCCCCTTCACCCTACCCCCCGGCTGGCCTTGTACAAGCCCTTGCCTCTGCGGCTTTGAAGCTCCCAATCATTTCCCTCTTCCACCCCGACGGGTCGGCACTCCACGCCAGCTGTGTGTGGCCTTGGACCCCGCCGGACGCCGGGTAAGGGAGCCTGGTAAGCCACGTCCCAATCAACTGTTCGCTCGAAGCTGCGGCCATTTCCCGGTCTCCCTTCACAAGTAGCGTGTATTCACCTTACCTACAAGCCGTGGAGCTATGCCATCTTGTCTCAAGTCCCGCAAGCCCATATTTCCCAGCTGCCTGTTCATAAACCCATGATTGTCGGCACCCATGTACCGGTTGACCACGCGGGGGGTTCAACGACTAGCATATGTGTGTGTGTACGTGTGTCCAGGGGTGTGTGAGAAAAAAAGAAAGCAAGAAAAAAAACTCTTGAGAGAGTGTGAGAAAAAAAAAAAAGGCAAATAATAACCCAAAAAGATGACGCTAGGAGATCCAAGTTTATCACGACGTTCTGCGGCCAGTACCACACTCCCCACGTCCGGTCTGGTCTCTGGTCTGTGGTCTGGCATCAGACGAAGCAGAAGCACTCACACCCAAGTGGCACACCCCTCTTCTCCTCCTCGCCGCCGCCGCCGCCGCCGCTCCTACTCCTCCTGCTGCTCGTCAGAGACAAGTACCAGGGCATGAAGAAAAAGAAAGGACACAGGAAACCGACGCGGTCCTGCCGTACCAAACCCAAACGGAATTGGGACGTGATGTTGTGTCGTTACTTCTTTGGATCAT